AGTTGTTGTTTCTATGGAAACAACGTGACGGAGATTAACGGAGAAAAGTAATATTTACATATAAAGACGGAGAAAGTAAACGATAAAGTTTATGGTTAAGTGTTAGCACCCCCCGAAGAGGCACAAGCTCTTACGTTGATATTGGAGATTTCAATAAATTCAATTTGGCAGCCGCAGTGCAAAAAAACGGAAAAAAAACAAAAAACGAATATCCGAATAACAAAATTGAAACCCGAATAGTACTCCAACGAACGAATATTTGGATATTCGGATGGTCGGGTACAGCCCTAGTGGATATTTAACTGTACAGCCTCACACAGCCACAAGCATACATGTTAAATATACATGTGATCTTGTTAGGATTTCTTAAGCCCCGAGACTAGGATAAACTGAAAAGAGTACAAGGAAGCTTATAAAAGTTAACAGCATTTAATTAAACAAATGATGCGGCGATATACAATGAAATATGCGAGTTGGTGGCTCACCCCCAGCCATCAACAGCTGGGAGGGGGGCCCCCTGTAGTCCCCCTGTAGTCTTCTCCCATTGGCCGGCGTCGACGGGGGCGGGTCCGAGGCAATTCCTGTCGTTTTTCTGGTGTTAATTACAGCATTTTCTAATATCTGTGACTATTTAAACATTCCCTAATAACAGTATTGCAGCGTCAATAAATGAGTGTTAATGATAGTGTGTTTAGTGTACAACACCACATGTCATTTGACCTTCAATTCACGGTTTCAAAACGTATGGTTTGCCACATGCTAATACTAACCGGAAATGAAGAATTTTCAGAATAAAACTTTGAAGTTAAAAGTCTGTGTGAACTTCTATTAAAACCCATGCTCTGTTCACGTGTGTGAGGTAGACCTGAAATGTCACACACATATAGAGGGGACAGTACCCTGGAACAGTGCACTGAAGTTCAACTGGTTTTTTCCTAACAGCATAGATGTTTCCTCATCAAAACACAGACTTGAAAATGGACAATGAGCCCTCAGTCTTGTCAACACTAACTTTGATTTTTTTGTTAAAATGAATTATCATATTTTAGTTGTACTGATCAATAAATGTGTTGGTATTTATATGTTGATACATGCATTGATCCGCATGATGTTTTAGTAATAGACAATATGTGTGTGTGCCTGCCCACGGACGGACTGAGCTAATCTGACATAAATCATTGCTTATCTTTTTGAAATTAATACGTTTGTTTGCATGGTCCTTATTTAGTAGAGATTAATAACATTACACACAATAAATGACACGAGAAATCACATGAACCCTGAGTATGAAGGAAAGTGTTTTTATCAGCAGAGTTCAGTAGCCAGATGGTCAAACAGTGGTTGATCATTAATGTCGTGTTGACCTACCAGCTACCACATGTCTGTGACATGTGGTAGCTGGTAGCTGAAGGAATAATAGTGTAGGAAGTTTGTTTGTGCCATTGCTTACCATGCAGGTTACATACATGTCCAGTCATTCAAATCAAATATAACAACTAAACTAATCATTTTGTCTATATTTTGTGATGTACATCGTGTCTTTTAGATTTGAAAAATGTGTCTGCACAAAATATATTCACTAAATCCTCTAAGAAGCGATGATGAAAGACTACCTGTAAATTGAGGAAACAAATAGTTATTTGCATTCTTTTGACGCATGTACACTATATATTCATGCACACACTCCTAACCTAATGACCATGTATTGGACACTGGAGATAAACATGTCTCCTAATATGGTGACTGTGACACATATAATAATTTGCCAGGGATTACTTAACACAGAGGGATTCCCCAAATCAATGTTCTTTATAAGGGAGCACCCTAATATGGTCGACACACAGCACATTCTCCGTCTCTGCCTAATATAGAGGGGACAGGGAACTCCGTGTTTCTCTCGGAGACTTGTCCGCTTATCACTGACTGCTCACTGTTCTTTTAAAGCTGACACAATCTGGCTTTTTATCCCCGTAGCTTAAACAAATACATGACAATGACATGCAACAAAAAACACACCCAGAAACTGTGGCTAAAGTGGCAATAATGCTAAATGCTAACACTTTAACAGTAACACACATTGGGAAAAGTCTTACATTGAACTGAATCAGTAATGTCTTATGCAGTAGTTAATGTTTGCTAAGAGCCACCATTACAGGCCTACCTGTCTGAGTCTATTAGATTAAGACAGAATGTGCTTTATATTTTATGAATGCAAGTTTCCATACATGGAGGAATGTGTAATTCTACTTTTAATCGTGACATTCACTGTTGGGGATTCTAATGTATAAAAGAAAAAAAAAAAGAAAAAAAAAGTGCAATCCTGATAAGTACACTGTGTCCACGTTGTTCAAAACATGCTGCTGAATTGTAGATGTCATTCTGTTTGTTTGCAGAGGCCTACCAAAAGTCCTGGAAAGAATGTTTGTTCTCAAAGTTCAAACTAACATTTTTATTTGACTATTTCCAGACAGACCTGCACGGAAGACACAAAATATGTTTGTGTCTGCCTCGACTGGCCAAAACAAACACAGAGCACGCAGACCAAAAATACATTTTGTCCACTAACAGAATCATGTTGTCAACTCATTTACCTAGAATTCAGCTAACACTGTCACATTTCAAGGGCTGGTAAACTCTATACCTCCTACATTTAAGAAAGCAAAAACCAGCACAGGCATAATGTCTCCAGCCTACACCCAGAACCCTTAACATTTTTGAACTGCCAACTTCTGTTAAGTTTGGAAAGACACAACAAACCTTTCCTTGTTTGAAAGTGCTTAAGACCACTTTAGGAGCAGACCTGGTTACATAGAGGTAATAATAAGCACACTCACAGAGAGAATCACAGCTTAATCACAGTTTAACAAGAGCATTAGTGGTTTTGGAGTATATGCTCTAAGAAGTATGCAGAGGATATTGGCAGATTAACACTTAACACCAAGAGGGTTTTTTACAGCATTGCTTAAGTTCAAAGAAGAGTTATTACATGTCTTGCGATGCACTTACCCAATTTGCTATCATGATCCACGCTTTCTTTCAACCATATATGTCTATTGTTCCCAAGGATTAATGCTATCTACGAACAAAATCCGATAAAAAATGGCTAGTGCTCATCACACTAATTGCGCCGCATAAGCGCATATGGTGCGCCACCTTTTTTCGGCTCAGTTGAGGCACAACCCAGTCTGCATGATCGGTCTGTAGGGAGGGACGGCCCTGTGTTTATATATGCATTTTTCAGGGTTGATTGCAAGTTTTTCCTTTTTCCTTTACATAAGTATGTTTAAAGGGCCAGTTGATAAGCTATAGCCAATGTTCTGGATTTTCTTATTATTGTTCTATGACATTTGCATAAAGATGCCTGCACGACATGGGTATTATTGTTGTTGATCTATGATTATTAGGATGACATACATGTGGTACAACGGCAGTATTTATAAGAGAACATATTTTTCCAGGAAACATAGAAAACAACTCCTGGTCGTTGACTCTTGTGCCTGTCATTCACTCAGACAACGTGATTACATGAGAAACCGTGGCACATGATCCGGCCTGGACAATTGCATTTGCAATTATCAAATTGAGAGGCGTATGGATTTTATTCTGCTTCCCAAATTGGAAAACCTAATTGTCTGTGAACGTTTGAGTCTTAAGTCCTAGTTTGCCTTGCTCTTTCTTTTTCTCTCTCTCTCACACACACACACACACACACACACACACACACACACACACACACACACACACACACACACACACACACACACACACACACACACACACACACACACACACACACACACTAGTGTTGCCCAAATGCACAAAGACAATCTGTATGCAATGCGTTGGCCACATACTTTATTCCAAAAAGGATTGAGGTCGACTCACTGTGGGTAGAAACACTTTTCCCCTCCTTGTCTAAATTCATCATCTCATGCCTGTCCAACATAAGCCAAGGGCCTATTTGCAGGCTGCAACAATCGGCCCGTTCTTTAAAAATCTTTGAGAGTCCTTCCAAGTCCTGTAGTGTTGCATAACATAATTCCATGGAAGAGGTTAGTACGTAGATATTTGTAAAACCTACGCCAGGGGTGCTCAAACCGATTTTGACTATTCAATGTTATCTTTATTTGATCATTAATGGGGGGGAAAAGCTTTTACTTTCCTGAAACTGTTTGGAGCCGTACAAAAACGGTTATGTCCTGCTGGGTAATAATAGCACAACAATTAATAGTGATGAGGGGTAAATCAGCTTAGGAATGTTGATAGGTTAGTAATGCTAAGTCATAGGCCTACTAATACTAGTTTCCTTATCCACTTTCCCATTTTCCAAAAAGTTGGGCTACATCTTGCATGAAAGGTGCTATCTAAATATAGTTGATTATAATTAGGATCTACAATTACTGTACAGTGTGAATTGCTTTACAATTACCTTTTACCTTTACCTTTCTATTTAGAGTAAAAGTCGTGTTTCTCGTCTCTCCAGTGTTACATCAGACAACTCCCAGTGATGATCTCTGCCCTTCAAAATAAAAGCAGACATCACGTGAAAGAGTAGTGACTACGTGACCCCTCAGCCAATCAGCGTCTCTGTTTTGCAGCTTCCCATTCGTCGATACACATTGCGACCCGCAGAGGAGCTTCCAGAGAGGCAAGGCACGTCAACGTGACTGAAGGCCGAGTCTCGTCCACAGTCAGCAACATCGGGATTATTCACCAATATAAAAGAAGCACGGTGAATAATTACCCCTGATCTCAAGAAAAAGAAAACGAAGCGCTCTGACATCGACCTCTAACAACGGAAACCCGTTAGCTTTAGCAGCTAGGCTAGCTCAGTTAGCCGTTACATACCCTCGTTTTTTTTCCCCCACGCAGCTGACCTCCACCACAACACAGGCGGATAGAGTATCAATTGCCTGCTAGTTTGGGGTCGTTCTCCTCCTGTGTCTTTCCTCCTTGTCCCCGTGTGGTGCCCTGTGGAAGCTTCCCGAATATGATCCATAATGAGTCAAAGGGACACCTTGGTTCATCTGTTTGCTGGAGGGTGAGTGTCAAACATGCAGAAAACTAAGCTAGCTAGCTAAAGGCTAACTGTTGTTGCTTAGCATAATATGCTACACATAATGGGATGTTTTTATTGGTATCTTCATAATGATTTGGATTTGGTTAATATTGAATATTATAGTTTTTTGCTTAACTCTGGCATATGCTCATCAATATTGTCCTTGCATGTGCACCCGTAGTAGTTTCAATGTCACAATGACATTTCAGGGCATGAATGAAATGGCTGGTTTGTGGAAGCGTGATCTTTTTTTAGGCTTCCTACCGAGAAAGAGACGTTTTCTGAAAATTAAACTAAAAAATAGCCATCTGTGTACAGTGTTACATTTTAAAAGCGTGCTTTTTGTAACAGCTCTGTGTCGTTCATGACGTTAGTGCATATAAACAAACATCAGACTGTCACTCAAGATCTGGATTAAATGCAATCTAAAATCGTTAATGAAAGGTTAGATTGCACACATTGCTGCCTAATAATATCTTGCATACAGCCTCAAAGTATAGCCTTAAACCAGAAGTGACAGAAGTACTTAGATTTTGTAACAAGTAAAAGTCCTGCATTCAAAATGTTACTCAAGTAAATGTACACAAGTATTAGAATCCAAATATACTAAGAGTAGCGACAGTAAAAGTAGTCATTGTGCAGATTGGTCCATTTCAGAATAATATATATGATATGTTTTATAATGATTGATCATGAAAGTGTTCTCAAAGCTGGTAAAGGTGCAGCTAGTTTGAATGACTTTGTATACTGCAGGGTAGCTGGTGGATTTACTCCAGGTGGAACTAAAGTCTGATTTAACACTTGATTAGATTCCACATCATTCATCCACATCAGAGAAGTAACTAAAGGTATTACATACATGTAGGGGAGTACAAGTACACAGTTTACCTCTGAACTGTAGTGGAGTAGAAGAACAAAGTAGCATTACATTAAATACCTAAGTAAAGTGCAAGTATCTCAAAACTTTACCCAAGTATATTACTTGAGTCTATGAACTTAGACCTCTGGCTATAAAGATAGAAAGACTAAGTGTGCACAGAGGCATGACAATATATTTTCAAAATGCTCAACAGTGCTGCCAAAATCATAAACTGACTGCTACACAATTAAAATAAATGCTTTTATATATTTCTATTAGATGTGACTCTTCGGCGTTTCTGTTATTTGTAGTATGGACTGACCATAAGAATTAGTCGTACCTTCGCCCTGCACGCAGGCTCAACTCGCGCCACGCTCTGTGGGCTCTCTTCCTGGGACGGTTCAACTTCACCTTGACCTACCGGCCTGGCTCCAGGATTGTGAAGGCCGACGCCTTGTCCCGGCAGTTCGCCCCCCCAGTCGAGGATTCAACAAAAGAAACCATGTTGCCATCTTCCTGTGTCGTGGGAGCAGCTAAGTGGGAGATTGAAAGGGTGGTCCAGGAGGCCCAGGAGGACCATCCGGCTGCTCATTTCATTTCAAACCTTTATTTATCAAGGGAGACCTGCTCAAGTAGGTTCCACATGAAACATAAAAACATAAACAGAACAACAAAAAGACATCAAACAGCATCATTACAGGGTTTACAATTTACATAACTATCCAGATGAGCAGGTAGGTAACAGGTTGCAGAGAAGGCCTAGCCCGGCCGGGGAGTGTCACTGACCCACTCCTACCTCTGACAAATTCAGGTTCCAGTGGGGACCTCTCTCCCTGTGTGTGCCTCTCCACCCCTGTTTCCTACTTCTTACTTGCTACCCTTTTCCCTCAACCTATCCTAAGGGAGTGCATGTATGTAGACACGTTAGTTTAGCTGCTATAGGCTTGGACTGTTGGGGGGGGCACCTTAGTCCGTCTTTCTGGCTGTTTATACCTGTGTACTCTCATGTTCCGATTAACCCAGCTTCCCCCAAATCTCTTTTTTGTGTCCATATATACGCCGGGATCCTGAGTCGAGGCTAATCCTGTTGCTGTGGTCCTGTGTCCTGGATCCTCTATCCTGAGCACTGGATCCTGAGTCCTGATCTGAGTCCTGGACTTCGAGTCGTGACTGAACCTGTCTCTGCGGTCCTGCCAGACTCTCACCATACTACTTCCCTGAAGGCTCTCACAGGATTGCTGACATCCTCGTGGATTCATCTTCTTATTACAGACACATGCATTTCCAAACATTTGGTCTACCTATGTTGTAAATGTATTCTCTCTTTGATTTCCACACGGCATCTATTGAACGTCTGTCCGTCCTGGGAGAGGGATCCCTCCTCTGTTGCTCTCCCTGAGGTTTCTCC